TCTTGGCGTTGTCTAGCGTAGAATGAAACTTTTCAGTTTCTTCTTCGACTCTGTTGTCGGTGCATAAACAGCTACAATGGCTTAAAAACAATAATTCTTTTAGATAGTTGACAGTATTTTTTCATGTCTTGGTCTAGTATCAGTCCTGCTCCTCTTTCATTTTTCTCTTCACCTGCGTATATAATATCCATTGTTTAACCACCTCCTTTCATATGCGCCTAAAATATTAGCATTTAGCTTGTTCATTTTCTACTTTGTGTTTTCTAATTGATCATATTGTGTTTTAGTGCACTGATATTTTATGTCCTGACAATTATTATTGTTTTGTTTGATGCAAAAGTGTTTGATAAAGTACATCAAAAAGAACTGCAGGAACTGATAGGTAAGTTTGACATAGGTGGTAAAGATATTAGAATAATCCAGAACCTATAATTTCAGCAAACCATAAGGATAGAAAATAAATTCAGTAAATACACTTAGTTGAATCCATTACATTCACTTACGTGCTAATGCCCTTGAGAAAGGTCTGAATCATCTTCTTCTCCCTCTCAGCTGTTGGGAAATAGCAGGACAGACCGGGTTGTATAGTCTTGGATGGCAGCTGGTCTACCGCAGAAAGAAATGACACCCTACTGCGGTAAAAAAATCTGACTCATCAGTCATGTATCGAAAGATACATGATCGCCTAAGCGTGTATCATGGATGGCACATAACTGACTGAAATATACATAGATAAAAAAAAACAAAACAATGTAAGACAAGGCTGCGTCTTCTCACCAGACTTTTTCAACTTATACATCGAAGCGATTATAAGAAAATTGGCGGCCAAAAATTTAACAAGATTAGAGGTGCAAATGACACAGTGATGATAGCAGACACAGAAAGGAAACTACAACCCCACCAGAATGTAGTGAAGGAAAGCATGAATCAAGGACTAAGGGTCAATTGCAAGAAGACTGAATTCATGGTTGTTAGCAAAAGGAGTAGCCCAACATGCAAATTATGAATTACAGAGACGAAAATCAAACGAGTGCAATAATTTAGATATCTACGAAGTGTATTAACAAATGATGAAAAGTGCGACACGGACATAGGAAGGCGCATTGGAATAGCCAAAGTTGTCTTTCAAAAGTTAAGTAAAGTGTCAAGAAAAATATCGCTAGAAATAAAGAAAATAGTACTGAAATGCTATGTGCTACCATTCCTTCTATATGGCAGTGAAATTTTACAATCTCGTCACAGATGAAGGAGAGACTTGAAGCAACAGAAATATGGTTCCGCTGGAAGTTTCTGATAATGCTATGAACGGAACATGTGAGCAACGACTAGTTCTAGAAACAATGGTAACAAAAAGGAGGCTTATACTTAACATCAGGAAGAGACAGTTGATATTTCACATAATGAGGAAAGAAGGCTTGGAAATTTCATACTCATACGATAGATTGAAGGTAAGAGCGACAGAGGAAAACAAAGCATAACCTATCTGTCGAGCTTCAGTGAATGGATAGCAGTGCAGAGTATGGGAGTGGTGGTTTAAAGGCAAACTTTACTTGAATTATTGGATAAAGACATTGTTTAGATCCAGTGACTAGACTCACAGAATTGTGAGTTCAGTACCAGGTGAGAGCAGAGGTGAAACAAAAAACTTGGATAGTTGAGTTGAAGGGAAATAACTGAGACATCCGCAAGAGGCATGGCACGTGGAACTAGAACAATCTACTCCGGTGGACGTAAAAAAAAGGGTTTGATTCGAAATTCCAATCACCTGAAGAAGACCGAAACGTACATCGGCCGAAATTTTGTGAATATGGCAGTGAAGACGAGGATAACAATCCGAATAATGTAAATAATGCAAGTAATCATAATACCTCATCTCAGAGATATAGAGGCCAAAACGTTGTGAATATGGCAATGAAGATGAAGATAACAGTCGGAATAATGTAAATAATGCAAGTAATCATAATACCTCAAGATATAATCCTGAAGAAGGGGTGGGCGTCCGACGGGCGAAAAGTTTTAAATATGGCAATGAAGATGGGGATAACAACCCGAATAATTTAAATAATGCAAGTAATCATAATACCTCATGTCAGAGATATAGACAGATCCTGAAGAAGGCTGGTGCGTACATAGGTCGAAACATTGTGAATATGGAAATGAAGATGAGGATAACAGTCTGAATAATGTAAATAATGCAAGTAATTATAATACCTCATCTCAGAGATATAGACAGGCAGAAATTATTAAGAGCTACAAACGGCAGAAGAGAGGGCCATGATCACCAACGTCCAGAAGGGACACGATACAAATAATAATAATAATAATAATAATAATAATAACTTTCAAGAAAGGTAGAATTACAGAAACACCCTTAATAGATTTAGATTTTGTCACAAAGATTAGGGAACTGGAGCATGGTGAAGCTTATAACTATCTAGGAATTAGCGAAGGAGATGGCATACAACACCCCCAAATGAAGGAAAAAATAAGAAAAGAGTACTACAGGCGCGTACGTCTGGTACTAAATACTGAGCTAAACTCAAAAAACAGGATATCAGCCATAAACACATTGGCTGTCCTTGTGGTGCAATACAGCTTTAATGTCCTTAACTGGACCATAGCTGAAATTAAGCGAATGGACGCCAAAACGAGAAAGCTTCTCACTTGCTATCGCATGCATCATCCCAAAGCTGATGTCGTTCGTCTGTATGTGCCCAGAACCGAAGGAGGAAGAGGATTAGTTCAACTAGAACTATCCTAAAAAACTACAACAATTGGCCTCCAAAGATATTTGGAAACTACAGAAAACTGGATGATGGTATGCATCAAGGAACATGAAAGTAGTAAGCGTCTTTACTCCGTAATGAAAGAAGCCAACAAATTCAAAATGGAGTTTCAAATGGGCGTAGAGATGCAACTACAGCACAATACACCGGCTGAAACTGCAAAATACCTAAAAAAAGACACCAAAGACGAATGCAACCGACCAGTTACAGAAGCGGTGGCAAGATAAACCGCTTCATGGCCTATACTCTGCCCGTACCAAACAAGCAAAAACAAAACAAAAAAAGACAAAACCCGTACCCATCAGTGGCTACGTAGTGCAGGGTTGAAAGCGGAAACTGAAGGTTTTATCCTTGCTGCGCAGGACCAATGCTTGCTAACTAGGAATTATCACACATATACTAAAATATTGTGTGAGCCCAAAATGCAGATTCTGTGATAAATATCCAGAAACGATTGATCATCTTGTATCAGGTTGCACGGTGTTGGCACCCACTGAATATAAAACCCGACATGACAGAGTGGGCCAATATCTGCACTGGAAAATCTGCAACTTCTACGGGAAGGAAACTGAAAGAAACTGGTATGAACACCACCCAGACCCGGTTACGGAGATAGGATCTGTTACAATTCTATGGGACTACACAATACACACTGACAGAACAATCAAGGCCAACCGGCCAGATATTGTTATTAAAGACCACATACAAAAACGATGCCTCCTTATTGATATGGCAGTCCCTGCTGACTGCAATGTATCTTTGAAGATATTCAAAAAGTTGTCAAAGTACAAGGACCTTGAAATAGAAATCTCGAAAATGTGGCATATGGAAACATCAGCAACCCCTGTTGTAGTTGAAGCCCTAGGACTGGTTGGAAAAGATTGCAGTAGACTAATTGAAGGGATTCCTGGAAGTCCATGCCTCAAGGAGATACAAAAAATTGTTCTGACAAGTACAGCCCACACCTTACGAAGGGCTTTATCTATGTAACTTATTTTTTTTTTTTTTTTGTCAGTGAAAAGTGTCATGACGCCATTTCTAACCTTAGGTCCCTGGGCGGGACCCGGAAAAAATGTGTAAACGCCAGAAATCAAAGAAAATAATAATAATAATAATAATAATAATAATGAGAAGAAGAAGAAGAAGAAGAAGAAGAAAAAAAAAGAAAAAGAAGATTCATACTATTTAGGTTCGGATATGGTATATTTTTATTGCTTAACACACCCTCAACCTTTCGAATTTTTTCGGATTTTACTTTTAAAATATATGACAGCTATATATTATCCGAACGTATTTTTCCTGTGATTTTATTATTTACCTAAAAGGTATAACGCATGTGTGGGCACGTGACTGAGTGGTTAGAACGTTCTCATTCTGACCATGAGACCCGGGTTCGAATCTCACCATGGTCGATTTGTCAGGAAGGAGACTTCCTGATGTTATCAGACTGAAGGTATCGGTCCCAGCGTGTGGCACCTTTGTAAAATGCCTAAAAGCCATATCACGAGTAGAGCCAAGTCTTATGATTGAAATTGGGTATACGGAACCCGTGCTGGCCTTGTTCAAATTGTTGATCACGCTAGATAACACGCTCTTTCCCAGAAACTGTAACTAAGGTCTGCTCAGAATAGTTGCAGTATAAACCAAAGGTGGGCTCTGTGGGTGTTGAACAAACACAAAATGCTCCTTAGCAAGCGTCTGCAATACGGATTGGCTAGCTGCCCTATTAGACGGGTATCCACGAATACAAGTGGCCAGCTATACATATATATAACGGATAACATTTTAGTTTGTATGTGTTTGTAGGATGCATCCGAAACAAAAGAGAAGAGGATGAGACAAAGTGGAAAATTTATTAACGACGCGTTTCACCGATAACGTCGGCTCTCTTTGGCTTTCTCGAGTTAAAATAAATGACAGACAAATCTGTATGTAAGACAAAATGCCTTGGAATCTCTGATGATAAGTGGAGACCATAAATCAAATTAAATTGGTTTACCTTATCACATCCAATGTCCAGACTTAAGTGAATGTAAATCTGTATGTTTCCTTGTTTTTTTTTTTATCTATATTTATTTTAGTACCGTCCATTCTTGGATTTTAAATCAGTCCACCAAAACTAGAGTGTTTTTTTTTATCATATATATTATATATATATATATATATATATATATATATATATATATATATATATAGTTGCATATACGTGTAAAGATTTCTTTTACACGGCCTTTTTCTTTATTTGTCCTTCATTTTTATTTTATTTTATTGATTTTTCTTTCATTTTTCGGTTTACCTTTTATAATTTTCTTCTTTTTATTTCTTGCCATTTTCCTTTGGTTCAAACATGTTACCTTTTATTTCTTTCACTTTATTTCCTTTATTCTTTCTTTCTTTCTTTCTTTCTTTCTTTCTTTCTTCATTCATTCATTTATCTTTCTTTCTGAACGAACTCTTTATATTTTGTCTTGTTTTCTTTTTTCTTTGAATTTCCTTTAATTTTTTTCTTTGTTTTAATTTTTCCTTCATTTCTTTCTTTCTTTCTTTTTCCTACTCTGTTTTCTTTTACCTTTCCTATTATATTTCCTTTCTTCTCGCCCATTTCCCTTTGGTTCAAACTCACCCTCACCTTCATTTCTTTCATATTTTCACTTTCTTTCTTTCTTTTACATTTCCTTCTTTGATTTCTGTCATTTCCATCAATTTTCCTACCTTTTCTATTGGTCACATTTCTTTCTTTAATTTAATGTTTTCTTTCTTGCTTTCTTTCTTTCTTTTATGCTACCCCATCTCTTTTCTTACGGCTCCTCCTGGTCTTTTTTCTCTTTCTTTCTTTCTTTCTTTCTTTCTTTCTTTCTTTCTTTCTTTCTTTCTTTTTACATTCCTTTTTTATTTTCTTCCTTCTCGTCTATTTTACTTCGTTTTTTATTGGAGCCCCTTTATTTCTTTAGTTTTTCCACTTCCTTTCATTCTATCTTTCTTCATATTGATCTCTTCACTTTTCCTTCCTCCCTTCTTTATTCCTTTGAATTTTCTGGATTTCTATCTTTCGTTTTTTTTTTCTTTTTCTTACGTTCTTCCCTGCACAAATCTATTTTTTTAAAAATAGATTTTTCAGACCAGCTACAGGATTCATTTCACTTTCATATAAATAACTGGACCTCGATTTTATTAATAGTTTGCCATTTCTATATGGAATTTATCTTTTACTTCAAAGCATCATTTTACTTTTTAATCCAGAATCCTTATTTGTGACTTAAAATGCCATGCCATTTCAGATGGTGAGAAATCAAAACTGTCCACATCCTACAGTCTTTTGTGACTCTAAGTAAGTTTTGCCGCTTTACCATCTATCTTTATCCTATTTGTGAGGTCAGCAAACATCCACGAACAGCTATTGACGAAGCGAAAGCCGCTATTTGCCAAAAACTTCCAGAAATACCGCTGGAAATGACTCGTTGGATAATAGAAAACTCGACAAGTCGGCAAATCAAACCAAAAATCGAGTATCTGGTCTGGAGCTAATCAATCTTATTTTTCGACATAAAAAGATTTCAAAAGCGTTTATGCGGTCTTAAGAGTGATTAAATATTTTCTACCATACAGTCCCTTTCCCACAGACGAAAAATCACAATTTCAGGTTTGGTTTGGTTTGGTTTGGTCTACGGCATATCAACCTCAATGGGTTATTTCATGTCGACAAGATTTTTATTGCTGCTAATATTTTCTTCCAAAAATGTACTGCGAGTAATATTTTTCTTTAAAAATGTATTACTGATATTTTTTCCTCCAAAAATGTATTGCTGGTAATATTTTTCTTTAAAAATGTATTGCTGGTAATATTTTTCTACCAAAATGTATTGATGGTAATATTTTTTTCCACCAAAATGTATTGATCGTAATATATTTTTTCTTCAAAAATGTATTGCTGGCAATATTTTTTCCTTCCAAAATGTATTGCTGGTAATATTTTTTCCTTCAAAAATGTATTGCTGGTAATATTTTTTTCCTTCAAAAATGTATTACTGGTAATATTTTTTACTTCCAGAATGTATTGCTGGTAATAATTTTTCCTTCCAGAATGTATTGCTGGTAGTAATTTTTCCTTCAAAGATATATTACTGGTAATATTTTTTCCTTAACAAATGTATTGCTGGTAATATTTTTTCCTTCAAAAATGTATTGCTGGTAATATTTTCCCAACATCTTATTGCTGATAATAATGTATTGCTGGTACAATGTTTTTCTCAAAAAATTCATTGCTGATAATAATTTTTACAAAAATATATTGCTGGTATTAAAAACTATTTTTACATTTTAATAGTGTTTTGCTCCCAGTTTGGGGGCTAATTATTTTCCCATAGCAAGGGCCCTAACAGTTGCTACCACCCCGGATCAGAGTGGACCTGGGAACAAGAGGTGGTTCCACGCTCCGCAAAACCTCCTGATTAGAAGTCTTGCTGTTGGATGTCGTTTATCGTCTTACCCAGGACTCGGATGTAGTTTAACGTATTACCCTGGACGCAGATATAGTTTATCGTCTTACCCAGGACGCGGATGAAGTTTATCGTCATACCCAGGAGGCAGATGTAGTTTATCGTCTTACCCAGGAAGAGGAAAGTGTTCAGATGGACTATATTCTTCAGTTCCACCAGTTCTAACCATTATACCTAAGACCTACCATATCACACACATTGTAGTCACTGTCTCGTATTGCGGTGACGAATGTCAAGACGAAAGTTTCGCTACTGGACGACAAACAATGCCAAAGAGCTTCATGAAAGACTAGTAATTAGGAAACAAGTTACCGTATAATGCGATGGAATGACGTGGAAAGGTGTGGAAAGTTGTGATGTTTCAGTAAATTCCGGTCGACATATGGAGACATTACGAAATGTCCTCACAAACTTTGGTAATGCACGTGTATGGCTTCAACAGGATGGAATCACCTTGTATACAACGAGAAGATCAATTAATATTTCGAGGGAGATATTTCCAGGATATTTGCTCACCTTACACGGTCGTGTTAGATAACGTTCACCCTCACCTGATCTCTTGCCATGTGATTATTTTCTCAATGGCTACCTGAAAACTGAGGTCTCCAACAGGCCCCAAAATTCCAGAAATACGCTCGTCGAGTAATGAAAATATTCCCAAATCGGCTACAGCAGTGTATCGAGAACAGAGACTAGATTTTGGAAAATATTTTAAAAAATAAAAGAAAACAAACCAGATACCTTTATCGATTTTAAAAACGTTTTTCTAAATAAGTTTTTGTTGTGATCTTTTTTTTACAACCCATAAAATGGTGGATATTCTATTGACGCACGCCATGTAACATATAAATCGAATATTAGGTAAATAATTTCTTCTCTTTTATTGTTCTCTCTATTTAATAAGGTTTTATTTTTGTCAGATTCTCCCATTATTTTATCTTAGTTGCTTCATTGCCTTGTTTGAGATGATATGATTACAAAAAAGAAAATAAAAAGTAAAATAAAACACCGTCCTGGGTATAACGATAAACTACATCCGCTTCCTGGGGATGACGATAAACTACATCCGCTTCCTGGAGATGACGATAAACTACATCCGGGTCTTGGGGATGACGATAAACTACATCCGCGCCCTCGGTAAGACGATAAACTACGTCCAAAAGCAAAGGCCTCTGATCAGGAGGTTTTGCGGAGCGTGGAACCACCTCTAAATTGCTGGCGTTCCCAGGTCCACCCTGACCCGGGGTGGTAGCACCTGTTAGGGTCCAGCTATAGACAAATAGTTGACACCCAAACTTGTGTAAAAATAGTTTTTAATACCAGAAATACTTTGTAATAAAATATATATATATATATTAATAGCAATAATTTTCGAAGGAAAAATTATTATCAGCAATACTTAAAAAGAATGTACGAGCAATACAAACAACTATACATTCTTTGAAAAAAAAATATTACCAGCTATAAATTTATTCAAGGAAAAATATTCCCAGAAATATATTTTTGAAGAATAACATATTACCAGCTATAAAAATTTTGTAGGCATTAAATAACCCATTGAGGTTGATATGCCGTAAACCAAACTAAACCGAAGCAAACTTAAAAAAAAAACAAAAAAAAAAACAGTTAAAATATTCCGCCAGTAAATTTTCTGAGCAAGTCTCGGGTGTGTCAACATATGGACGCTTATTAATTCAATTTGTCTTACTGATAAAATCAAGACTATTTTGTCGATTTTTTTTTTTGTTTGGTTGGAGTCGGTGGCTCATCTCACAGCTCGGAGAAATTTCGTTACTTGAGAATAGGTGTACGCAGTTGAAACGCTGTGCATGAATAACAATAAAAACAAAATAAAAATAAAATAAAATGAAAAATAGGGGAAAAATAAAAATTTTAAATATTGAATATTAATCTTATTCATCTTTAAATCTCTAAAGCAAATGCAATGTTTCCATTTCCTCATTATTTTATTTCATCGCCACCACTTAGGGGATATTGTCTGCATTAAACAGACAAGTGCCATAAATTTCGCACGTTCGTGAGATCAATACTGACAAGAGTATGCACTGTGAATATTTTTCAAAATGTCCAGCGAATGACGGTAGCCACAGATAATAGCAAACATTACATATATTAAGTTTTTACTGGATGCATATAGCTATGTAAAAAAAAAACAAAAAAAAAAAAATTCTGAATTAGACACAAGAGAAGATTAACAATAAGATTTTTGGGACGTGTGTTATTGATATCCGAAGACGGACTGAGATAGCGAAAGTTGTGTTCCAAAAGTTAAGCAAAGTATTAAAATGCATAAACATTTCTCTAAAAAAAAAAAAAAAAAAAAAATGAGTACTGTAGTGTTGTGTAGAGACAGAAAACGGACAAGTATATATATATATATATATATGCATATATATATGTGTGTATGTTTATGTATATATATATATATATATATACAATATATATATATATATATATATATATATATATATAGTTATAGTTGTATTGATGTGCTTTTGTTACCCTGGGTTTACACGCTATTTGCGATCGTCGGACAAAGAGTTTGTCTGGCGATCGCAAATAGCGTGAAACCCAGAGTCACAAACTCACATCAATCCAACTAAATATGTTAGCTCTATCGCTGGTATTGAGCCCGTTCCAATAAGTACCGCGCATATATAATATATAAATAATATATATAAAGATTGCATATATATTAATATTTAAATACATACACATTTCACTCACACAGACACAGACACACACACACACACATATATATAAAGATATATAGATAGATAGATAAATAGACAGATAGATATCAATATATATATATAGAGAGAGAAGAGTTTATAGTTGTTTGAACGAGAGACACTATTTTTGTGTCACTACTACCCCCAAAAAGAGAATGTTTAACATCGAAAATCATGAGGAAAATTGATTCCTTTTAATAATATGTGGAAATAACCATTTTGACTGATGAAGGTCGCGAAACTGGAAACG